CTATGCGCGTTGCAAACCTCAAGTAATGTACCTCCCAAGTAATGTAACTAATAAACATTTAGCTAGATTTAACCCTTATCCTGCCAGCCCCATGTACATTTACATTGGCTTGGCCAGATAAGAATGAGCTGGATTAAAGCGAGATTAGCTTGTTTTCAAAATTGCTACTTAATAAGATTGTGCCAGGTAATCTGCATAAACCTTTCCCAGAATAGTTATATACTGTGAAATACTTTTTTTTAGCTGGAATTAATTTTTGCTTTAAAGACTTTTGAGCGTTTTGTATAAAATTTATTTTCACTGATTTTTGACAAGTTGAATGTAAACTGTAGGAAAAAAAGTATAATCGCTGGATTTTATTTTCACTAAATATAAAATATTTTAGTATTTTACAGTACGTAAAAACTACAATAAATAAGTTGAATTAATTAATGGTACTTGATTTAAAATGTTTTTATGAAAAGCCAAAGCCAACTGATAGCCAGTTTGGGAGACTCAGACTGTAACCTTGTATGGATCACTGTCAAATTAATTTCATTCATGTCTATCAGATTAATTCATTTACCACATGTCCATAGTGCGTAAATCATTCACAGTTGTATTGTTCAGGGTGCAGGGTAACTGATATTTCAAACTAAATGTGATGTTATGTATCAGTACATGTATCTAGTATGGTAAGCATCATCAGTCTCTGTGTGCTCTGTGTACGCAGAGATAAATAAATCATGTGACAGTACTGTTCTCTTTTATTGCCTTTTTTAAAGAGTGCTAATTTTCTCTTTTAAAAAAGTCGTGCAGCAAAATCAGTGATAACAAATGATTGAAATCTTACCATAACTTTCATAATGATAAATTTTACTTTCCAATGCATTATGCAATCGCAAATATTTGGGAACTTATGGTAGTACCACCTGGTATTAAGCTTGGTTAATGGAATTCTTGATTTATCACGTCAAAGAATACAGGGTAGGTCAACTCATGATCAAGAAAACTTGTTTAATATTAATACAAACTTGATGTTTACATGTGTTCGTAGCAAACCATGAAATTTTTTCAAATCATATCATGAACGAATAATAATTAATGCTGTTAGTGTTAGAACTTTGGAAAAGTCATTTCTTTTGTACATGTATGTACCGGTATTAGATGATCACTTGTGAGATGTTTTGATTCTTCAGTGGTTTACAGTTACTGTTTTCATTAAATAAAACCTCAATTAGAGTTGATTCTTTGTTGCAAGAGTTAAAATCTAGGGTGAAGTTTTAAGTTTTGGGGTAAAAATTAATATATTATTAGTATAATCTGCAAAATTAATAGGTGGTTGAATTTTTGGAATAGGCAAGTTTTTAGAGTTTTTATAGTAATAAAAACAAACCTGTACAGGTACGGTATATTTGAACACATTGCTGGAAACATCAAATTTGTTTTATTCAAGGGAAGAGTTGAGTGAGCACTCTCTTTGATTTAACATGCCTTATATTTTCTGATTGCAAGTTTCATTCCATTGAATTGTGTAATAACAATCTATACCTCTCATTTACATGTACAATGTACTTTGTTTATTCACTGTAGAAACCAATGCTGGTTGGCAAAGACAGGAGGTTAATGCAGTTTCTATTGAATCATTGCCCAACACTCAGTGAGAAGTACTTTCCTACATTTTGGTGCATTGAAGCTAGGGCCAATACAATAATGAGATCAGTACTGATGGAAAAACCTGCCATGGAGCCATATAGATGGTAAGACATTGTACCATAAAAACTTATTTGTGGTCTATTAATCTGAGCACCCAATACATTTAAAAAAAATGACTATTACTTCAATTCACATTGTTCTTAAACAAATTTAAATTTGTACATCCTGTGTATCCAGTTAATTCTTGCTCTAATGTTTTATGGCTGTAATTCATTATTATCAAGCCAGTTGTCTAAAATCTATATTGAAACACGTAGTAATATTTGCTGGTCTGTAGCTACAGACATATACCAGTAATCTATTTTTGACTCCCTTGTGCGAGGCACACAATGGGAGTTTTTGCAGTTAGTCTGTCTGTATGTATGTGTATGTGTATGTGTGTCCGTCTGTTCCACTGATATCTCAAGAGCCATATGTTTGTTTTTGATGAAACTTGATGCATAGATGCACTGGGCAAATGCGCAGATTTGATTAGGTTTTATTTAAAATCAATGCTTATTAATTACCTAATTTGCATGATAAATAGCTGATATTTACCTGTTCCAACGATATCTATAGAACCACTTATTGGATTTTGATGAAACTTGGTACATAGATGTTCGGGGACAATGCGAAGACCTGATTATTTTTGGGTGAAATTCAATTGCCATGCATATTAATTACCTATTTTGCATAATGATTTGTCAATTTTCGACTTTTCTACTGATATCTCAAGTACTAACCACCACATTACAATGGAACTTGGTACATAAATGTCATGGGACAATGCACAGATCTAAAAAGTTTTTGTTAATATCCATGCATATTAATTACATAAATTGCATATATAATTAGTAATTGTTTTGGCTTTTCCGCTTATGCATGTATTTCGAGTACTAATCATTACATTTCAATGAAACTTGGTACTAGTACATAGATGCTCTATGACTATTCATAGACCTGATTAGTTTTGGCAAAAAATCTGTGCATAATAATTACCTTAAGCAAGTTTGTGGTAATAAGGCATGATATCTAATCACACAGGTGGATCCGGAGTCATGAAATTGGCAGAAATTTTACGCTTTGCGATATTAATAAAACGTGGTTCCATTGATTGATTTGGTTTTTCTCTACATACTGTTATTAATGTTCATCATGCATATCGCTATGTTTAGTTATCAGCAAAATAATTTCTCACTAAACGTCACTACTACGTGTATGAATGATATGCACCATCTTTAATAATAGAGAAATTTAATAATTTTTTTTGTTTGTCAAAAATATTACTTATTAAAACCAGTATTTATACTTACTACTTTCACTGTTTGTACCTTACATCATTATTATTATTGGTCTGCACATGTTATTAGATTTTCTTTAGGCACAAACTGTTTCTTAAATTTTGAACTTGCTGACATTTTTACCCCTTCTAGTTGGAGTGTGTGTGTCATTGTCTCAGGCTTTCATTATTAGGAGTCAGTCTCATTCGGGTACAGTTAATGAAAATTATAATTCATAAGTTTGCATGTCTTTCTGTTTGATGACTAAATAGAATGTTGGTATGAATCCTCCTTGATATTGTTGATATTTAGTATTTTTTTTTTCAATTTTAAAATTTCTAGTGAACGTTTAGAATTACCTGATGGAGGGGAAGTGTTTCTGCACTGGTTAGATAACCACAAGAGTCCAAGTTCACCAGATACAGATATAAGGCCAACAGTAATCATTCTACCTGGATTGACTGGTAACTATCCTGTGTGTTTTTTAGCTCCGCTGTCGACAAAGTCGACACAGCGGAGCTGTTCATATTACTGATTGTCTGTCGTCGTCAACTTTACAATTTCTTCTTCGAGTGTTTTCAAATTTGATATGCAAGTACCTTAGATGGTTCTTTTTCAGATTTGTTCATTTCATGTCAAAATCTCAAATTCTCTATTTTTGGTGAATATTTTTGGTAAAAAATGATATTTTTGACTTCTTGTAAAAAAAACACAAGCTTGATTACTTTGATATTACATAGATAGGTACTACATGTGGACTTCTCTCAGATTTGTTCATTTCGTGATGATATCTTCAATTCTCTAATTTTGATGAATATTTTTGTCATTTTTGGTAAATATTACATATATACATGTAGGTACTACATATGGACCTCTCTCGGATTTGTTCATTTCGTGATGATATCTTTAATTCTCTAATTTTGATGAATATTTTTGTCATTTTTGGTAAAAAGTGATATTTTCAACTTCTTGTTAAAAACCACAAGTCTGATTGCTTTGGTACTATACATATTGTTCATTTTCTAATGATATCTTAATTGAAAGTGCATTGCTAACAGCGGTGCTATTTCAGCTTTGTGTTTGCTGTGCTAGTACATGTGACAGACATAGTCAACATAGTAGTCAGGTGATGATGTTTTTGTTCTCCCAGAGTAAGTTTAGAATCCCCACCACCACGGGGGGGGGGGGGGGGGGACTTTAGATTTAGGGAGAGCGAAAGTTATAAATTATAAACTATAAAATTTTAATGTACTTTTCTTTTTGTGCTGTAATTGAACACAGAGGGCCCAGTTTGTTTCTTTATCTTATGCATCATCACTTTTTTATCTCTTTCAGTATGGTGATATTTTGCTGAAAATTAACTTCCATTATGTTATCTCAACTGCTGGTCAAATCTGAAAAATTAGTGGGTGGACTAATACTCGAGGACCATCTCAGAAAAAAAAAAAATTTTGGGGGTGTTTAAAATTGTAACCATCTTCCCACCCATGAATAATTATCCAAATTACATTTTTCGTTCACAGCGCCGGTGTTGAAGAAATAATACGCCCTTTTGAGAAAAAAAATGCACAAACATCGAGTCGTCATTGATTGATCATGGATATTAGCAACTTAGGACTACCTCATTCACCTGTCCACAGGGACGGGCAATTTGTACATTTATTTGTCCCAGCTAAAATCTGCCTGCCTGGGACGAGTGGATAGGCCTTAATTTTAATATTGACTCACAATACCTCAATAAATTACCTTACCGGTATGTCTTTTTTATAATAAATCGTTGGTAGAGGGCGCTGGCCACTCAGACTTTCATATCCTCGGGGGCTGAGCTACGTCGCAAGACGTTCCATGTTGCTAAGACGCGCACCACTGTACATGCATTTCTATGGGCTCTGTGCGTGCTGCTTGGGAACGCCGGTCGAGCTGGTGAAAATTCAAGAAAACAACACAAACTCAACTTTGAAGTAATCTTGAACAACCAAATTTATATATGTTACACACGTAGGGCTAATCTTGTTACACTGTTCAGGGGAGTCTCAACAACCATCCCGAAGTACTGTTTTCTGCGAGTTTTTGGCCTTTGTTTTCACTGCGAGGGTTGCCAAGCGGTGAAGATGCCCGCCCCCGAGGATACAAAGTTAATTGATAATCAAGTCCTGATTCGAATCATTTTATCAGATCATATTATTATTATATTCTTCTGATTTAGGAAGTGCTGATGCCAATTATGTTCTTAGTTTTGTGGATGATATAACCAAACTTGGATACAGGACTGTTGTATTCAATAACCGAGGCAATGGTGGAGCAACGCTTAGAGTAAGTTACTATCTTAAGACTGGGGAGTCGTCACCTGCACATGCGTCAGATGGCCATAGGGTGTCATTGTTTACAAATAAGCATGTACCCATGAGCCTTTGCATTTTTAGCGTGTGTTGTTATCGTCGCTTAAACTAAATTCCCGTGCATGCGCAGGTGACGTCCCTCGCGCTTTAATTCGTCAGATCAATATGTAACACGCAGCATCACATGTGAAGCATGTTGGCCTCTGATATCTTTTCTAGTTCCATATGCGATATGTGATTCAGTATCATCTCTGGAGTTTTTTGGTGTCTATAAAATGGTTCTTGGGTTATGATTCTTATTTCTTTATTAACAATACACAGGGCAGTATGAGAAAAATATAAAATTACTAATACTTTTTCCTTCCCCGGTACATGTATGAAAGTGTGAAAAAAAGGTCAGTAAAAGCACTTTTCCCAGAAATGGAGATTATGTCCAAATGGGAGAATTTGCTATATCAGTATACAAATAGAGGAAAAAAAGTAAAAGTCTATTGATTTTGGAGATAATCTCTTGATAATTAGACCCCGTTCGGACGAAGTCCGAAAACGGGGACTTATAATTCGGTCTCCGTCCGTCCGTCTGTCCGTCCGTCCGTCCGGAGTCAGAATCCTTTGGATCGATTCCGTTCATTCTTTGCATGTGCCTAGTACTTTATGTGGGACATATGCACATGCAGTGGTTTAGCGATTCAATTCAAAATGGCCGACTGGCAGGCATCTTGTTTTGTTTTTTATGTTTGGTATCTTGGACTTGCTTTGTCAGTTTTCATTCAAATTTGGCACATACTTTATACACATACTTTGGCCTTACTACAATATTTCCAAGATTTATGTCCCATTTTTCATTCGTATTTGGCACATACATCATACATGTAAGTTTGTTTCATAATCAGATCAAAGATGGCTATATCGCTGTCACCCATGTATCATTTTCATTGATATTTAGCATGTCATAAATGGATACATGTACTTGGCCAACTGGCGGCCATCTTGTTTGTTTAAAATGTGATAAGCTGGACATGCTTTCACTTTTGATCTATGTTTTTCTTTGCTGTCTTAAACCGGAGGGGTCGTCACGGAACACATGTTTGAATTTGATGTGAATAAATAATCTGTTGTATATGCCACTTGGGACTCAAGTTTCAAAAACAAGCACGCGACAACCCCTTCGCTTTAATATGACGAATGGGGACTGTGCCATTTTCAATGACTTGTTTAACATAATTTTATTCACACCTTCATTTTATTTTTTGGGATTTGTCAAAAATAATTCACTATAATGTATACTAACTGAGAATATTCCTTGATTTGAAGATACTCTCCATTTCAAGAAAAGTGCCTTGCTGAAATTGATTCCCTGAAGAATCTACAGATTTTGCACATTTCTATTCTTCTCAGTTAGTTTCAGACCATGACTGATTAATAAAGTTAATTGATTATTACTCTGTGTTTGTAATTGTGATTGTTTGATTCAAAATTCAAATTTGAATGTTTTTTTTTGTAAATATATACCTTACATTGTATTTTATCTTCATTCCAGACTCCAAGAACATATTGTGCTGCTAATACTGAAGATATGCATTGTGTTGTCAACCACATTAAACAGAATTATCCTAAAGCACCATTGATTGGTGTTGGGGTTTCTCTTGGAGGGTGAGTGTATGTTCATTGTATATCCCTCTATAACTGCAGTATGTGCTTAAAGTCAGCCACACCCAACACTATTGGCTTACATAGCATACATGTATATGTGACAAGGTAACTACTATAAAGCACTTATTTTAGCTGGAATTAATTTTTGCAAAAAAGACTTTTTGGGTGTTTTGTATAGAATTTATTTTCACTGATTTTTGACAAGATGAATGTAAAATATGGAAAAAAGGTATATTCACTCGATTTTATTTTCACTGAACCATCCCTACAGTGAAAATAGTTTAAATAAATTCTGAGTGAAAATAATGTATTTTACAGTATTCAGAGCCATCATTTTTCATGCCAACATTTTGGTACTACATTTTACAGACTTTTATGTATTTTTCTATAATTTCTTTGTTAAATTTGGACAAAAAGGGCATAATTTTCCATCTGACATAAGTACACACATTTGACAGCACTTTTCATGCCAAACATGCATGAAAATTGCATATTTTCAGTATTCCCGCACCGGATCTCAGTCCTGTGTGTACAGATTCTGTTCAAACTTGCTTACATACATTGAACATAATTTTATTTTTCGGATTGGATTCATGCCTGGACCGATCAAGTTGAAGTTTCACACATACATCATACATCATATCGGACATATGCACATGCAATTTTGTCATCATATCAAAAATGGCTGACTGGTGGTCATCTTATTGCAAAGAATGCAGTTCCACAGAGCCATATTTCATACATTCCTGGACCAATCAAATTCAAACTTCACACATACATTATATCGGACATATGCACATGTTTTTTTTACATCGTCGCATCCAAAATGGCTGACTGGTGGTCATCTTGTAATCAACATAATGCAGTTCCACAGAGCTATATTTCATACATGCCTGGACCAATCAAATTAAAAGTTTACAAATACATCACACATTAGGTCATATGTGTACCTCACATCCATAATACAAATGAGGACACTGACAATTACTTGTTTTAAATATTTTTGTGCCAAGTGGACACTCAATGTCACCGATGTCAAGCTAAACTGTTTTCATTTGCAAATTACTAAGTGCTGATTGTACATGTACCATATTTACTCTATTAGAACCACATCTCCAATAGAATCACACATAAAACTGCATTACCGTTAAAGTCCTAATATAAACCGCGGTTTATATTACAATGTATCAATTTAAAAATTGGGATCAAAAGCTCAAGTTCGGGGTGCGGTTTCTATTACGTACATATTGCAATCACTAAATGGGCGTGGTCATTTTTTGCCCACAACACTTGCACAAACAAACAATACACCGTACATCTCTTGAATAGGCGTCAGGGAAGAGTGAGAGGCTTTACTTTGGTTCTAAAATAGGCGTTACGAAATGTTACAGTTACAGTCAATCAAAAAAACTGTACACATGATAAAAAAATACTCATTATATTTAATGTAATAATTTTTTTTTTAATTTTCTTGTTAACGAAAAGTATATTCTAACAGAAGTTTCATGTAAAAACAAACACGAATGCACTGCTTAGTAGCAAATGATCACAGAACGGTAGCGCAATCTGGCCATGCTGTGGTTCACAAGTGAATAACTTACTTGTTTTCGAAGTGTTTAAATTGGCAATTATTATTCATTAGTGATTACAATAACGTACGAAAAATAAATCCGTTTCC